TTGTTTTACAACGTCGTCGCCAAGCGACAAAAACCCAACCCCGATGGCAAACACCGGGGGGGGGGATTAATCGCCTGACCGAAGGAAATGAAACCTGGATGCCGCCGCCACCGTGTATGCGCCTTCTCCCAGAGTTTGCTATGGGTCGGTCGCGGTGCAATAGAAGCCAGTTGCTGGGTTTGGCCTTCTCGAATATGGGTTTGGCATTCTGGAATCTGCTGTCGGCTAGAGAGAGGTAGTAATCGGGTTATTTAGACGCTCTTGCTGCTTGGTATTTTTTGTTTTCGCAGGTGGTTTCGCTGGAGAAGCGGCAGGCGGTGTCCACCTTGCCGTCCGACATGGAAAATGCGATGGACGATGGACAGACACCGACACGAATGCGCCAGGGGTGGGAATGGACCGTTGGCAGCATGCGGCGGGAGCACACGCACGACGTGAAAGCCCTAGCGATCCACGAGCAGAGCCTCGACGAGAGGACGGAGGGTGGAGGGATCGGGGTAGCTAGGAAGGGGCCGGTGCTTGTGTCTGGGGGCGTTGACGCGTCATTATCATTGTACTCCGTCCCGGGCTTCAAGACACAGGCAAGCAATGATTTTACGCGCAAACTATGTTGTTACTTGTTGTCGAGCTTGTTCCATCGCGGTTGCTATCTCGTGCCTGCGCACTTGCTGCTGCTCAGCTGCCCCACCCGCCGTGTTTTCGAGATCGTGGATATTGCGTGTGGAGTTACCTGTGACTTCTGCTGTTTTCTAGGGCTTAGAGTTCCCTGCTGTACTCGGACGTGAAAATTGATGCGGTAGCTTTTCCCGGCGAGTTTGATCTTGGAGCACTCGCTATTGCAGTACTACAAGTCATACTGTGACGGTTTGAGCTAATCCTGGGATTCACAGCATCTAACGTTAGCCTTCACCTTACACTGTCGAAAACAGCAATCGCCAGTTGCATTCCCACTACCTCTTGGTCGTCTTTCGCCCGTGTCTGCGCGCGTATCTACGCTTTAACCACAAACACCCACCACCACCAACAGGGACCACGGCCAATGGAG